TTGCACCCCACTGTGGAAGGAGGATTTAAGCTGTCAGCGGTGTTTCTCAAATTGTGGTTCTCCAAATACATTCCTCTGAATTGTCTAAAGATCTTATTAAAGATACTTTAGCAGGGGCGCCTGGGTGGCTCAGATGGTTAAGCATCTGCCTTTGGCTCAGGTCATGATCTCTAGGTCCTGGGATCCAGCCCCATGTCAGGCTCCCTGCTCAGTGGGGAGTCTGCTTCTCCCTCTCCCTCTGCCTCTCCCCCTGCTTCTGCTCTCTCTCTCTCTCAAATGAATACACAAAATTAATTTAAAAAAGATACTTTAGCAGCTTCCCCAGTCCCATCGTCCCATCCCAAAGTAGGGCAGGGACCAGGAATCTGCATTTTTCAGTAAGTGCCCTGGGTGGGTTTCATGCCCTGCTACAGGGTGCTAAGGATGTTCTGAGCTATTCAGAAGCAGCTGGGGATTCTGGCGAGTCAGGCGCAAGGTCTGCCTTCGGGGAGCTTCCTGGCTGTGCGGGCCGGGGTGGTCTCCCTCAGCAGGCTCCCCTGTCTCCCTCCCACTCAGGAAGCCGATGCCAGTGGAGGACTCTGAATGCAGTTCCGACGACACCAGCATCTCCCCCATCTCATCCACCTTGCTGAATCCCATCAAACTGGCTGTGACCCAGCCCAACAGCAACTTCTTCGCAGGGATACTGGAGGGCGAGCTGAACAAACTCAGCTTCTCCTCGGTGGGCAAGGATACAGAAAAGAGGGACCTGGCTCTCTGCCCCCACCAGTCGAAGTCCCAAATTGCCCCTGGGGGCCTGCTGGACCTTGACAACCCTGAGCTGGACACAGACACCTCCTCAACCCCCTCAGAGTCCTCTGTGGTCATGGATGTGCCGGAGGCACCCTTCATCTGTGAACACACCGTCAGCAATTCCACGGCTATGGTACGTTTCCCTCTTGGTGCATTCAGCGCAGGCTCCCTGCCCGCCCCCGTGTGCCAGGCACTGAGCTGAGCTCCATAGGGAGTGTGAAGACTCCTACCACCTGCATCCTGACCTGGAGCTCCTGGCTCAGGAGAGAAGCCCTGTCTGTAAGGAACTCCAGTGCTAGCTGGAAATGGGTGCGGTGCTGTAGGACGAGCTCAGACGGAGTGCCACCGGGAACTCAGAGGGAAAGAAACATTACTTCCAGGTGCAGGAGTAAGCTTGGTGGGTTTGGTTAACATTTGAGCTGGGACACAGAGGTAGGATCTAAACATCCAGGGATGGGAGAACGGCATTCCAGGGAGGGGCTGATATGAGCAACGTGTGGGAAAATGTGGGAGCAAACAGCCAGGTCCCAATTCATGGCTTCTCGAACATTTCTGTGCCTACGGATCCAATCATCTTGTTAAAAATGAGATTCCCGGGCCTCATCCCTAGAGATTCTGATTCAGTAGGTCTGGGTGGGGCCTGAGAACTTGCACCGCTAACATTCCCAGATGGTGCCGATGGCCCGTGGACCCCATGTTGAATAGCACTTTTCTAGAGTCCAGGACAGGGAACAGAGGGGCGAAGTTAGTCCACAGTCATTTTTTCAGAGGTCCTACAATGTTAGGCTACTATATAGATTTTTCTGTAAGCGGTAGAGAACAGCTCTTGCAAAGCTTTATATCTGACGGTGGATACAATTTGAGCTGTATTTTAGGAAGATAAATCTGGAAGTCCCAGATGGGCAATGTTTCTCAAAGTGTGGTTCTCAGACCACCAACAGCATCAGCATCATATGGCAACGTGTTTGCAATTTAAATTCTTGTCCCCTCCACCTCGGGCCTACTGAATCCGAAACTGTGGGGGACAGCAATCTATTTTATCAAGTCCTCTAGGGTATTCTGATACACACTCAAGTTTGAGAACCACTGGCCTAGAAGGAGGGGAAACTGGGAATGGGAGACCAGACAGGAGGCAGCAGGGCCAAGAATCTACAGTGTTGTAAAAACTCCCTGAGCTCCTTAGCCAGGCTCGGCAACCACCATCATAGCCCGAAGTATGTGGGCTCTGGAACTACTGTTTTGAACTTTGGCTCTGGCACTCTGTGTGACCCCAGGGCAGCCACTCGCCCTCTCTGAACCTGTAACCTCATCTGCAATGAGCAAGGTAGACAAGATGATCTCTAAGGGCCCTCTCAACTAGTCTAGAAGAAATACAAATGGGGGTACACTCTGAGGTGGGTGGGGCTGCCCAGGGAACCTTACACCTTGGAAGCCTTACACCTTCCATCAGCCCTGCCTCAGCCCCGGGAGGAGCAGGGGATGGGAGTGGGGCCCTCAGATCCATGGCTGGGGGTAGGAGGGAAGGGAGACAGCCTGGAGCAGGTCTGAGGAAGCCTGGGGGGCTCTCTTCCTCTAGATTTCCTGGACCTATGCCTTGGGCAAGCAGCAGGTCAGTTTCTACCAGGTCCTGTTGCAGGAGGTGGCCAAGACAAATGACAATGAGCCACCCAAGGCAAAGAATCGCCCATGGATCTTCAACAAGATCTTGGGCACCACTGTCAAGCTGATGGAACTGAAGCCTAACACGACTTACTGCCTCACCGTCCGAGCAGCCAACACAGCTGGGGTGGGGAAGTGGTGCAAGCCCTACAGAGTGAGCCCTGGGAGAGGAGAGCCCGTGGAGGGGGGTGCTGGGGAGCAGCAGGGAGAGGTCTGAGCCAGGGGTTTTGGAGGCTGGGGACACCCTGATGCCCCCACGGCTCTTCTTCCTGCTGGCTGTCTTTCTGCCTGGGAGAATGAGCATGAATTCCAGGCTGCTTTCTTCTGGGAGTTGAAGGATTAAGCCCCTCTGGGGCCCACTGGGGAATGCAAACTCATCTATTCACCAGCATCTCTGTAATGTCCAGCTTCCAATGCCGTTAGCTTTGGAATTCTTCAACTCAGTACCAAGAACTGTGAGCAGGCCAGGGAGTGAAGGGCACATTCCTGTGTTTCCCTCAATGCCCTTCAAAAGGGGGGTAAAGGGCAAAAGGGGGACAAAGAAGGGAAGGAAGGTGGGCAGGGGCATGGGGGGAGGCCTGAGGACAGATTGCTCTGGGGTTGGAAACCTCACACAACAGGGAAGGCATGGGTTCGTACCTGTTTCGGGTGCCCACAAGTAGGTGGTAAGGCTATCCAAGACCACATCTGACCAACAAAGAGCTGAGCTAGGGTCAGGTCTGGGAAGGAATTCTGAGGGGTTGTGTTTTTCAGTTTGCAACCGTGGCCGCTGACTTGAACAGCTTCCCTGAGAACAACCCCATCCAGATCACTGTGCAGCGCAAGGAACCCCAGAGGAAAACCGTGTCCCTCGGGCTGGAGGACATGCGGAAGCTCGAAGATCTGGAATACCTATTTCCCTACTAAGGAGGGCCCCAGGAAGCCCCTCGCCTACCTTCAGCTTCAGCCCAGGGCTCTCAGGAACCAGAATCATGAGATGGGACCACCAGCACCATGCCAGGAACTGCTGACTAGCCCGCCCGGGGGCTGGTGGCAGTGGTCCCCAAACTCCACCCCTGGGTTAGGGCCGAGGCTAGGAGCTCCACTCACCTGGAGACGCCAGAGGCCAGGTCAGGTCCGCCACTGCCCACAGCTGCTAGGCATCCCCCTCCCCAGATTCGGGCTCGGTCCAGATCCCTCATTAAAGCACTGCAGGTCACCTAGCACCCCGACTTCTGTTTCATGCCAACAGTGGGGCTGGCTGCCATCCCCCTTCCTAGCTTCTGCCGGGGCAGGGAGTCCAGGTTGGGGGGTAGGGGCCATGAAACACAAGTGTGGCCGGGCAATGGGATCCTATCCCCACCTACTGCTGGGCTCTGCCAACATCATCGCTGTCCCCATGTGAGGAAGAAATGTTACTCAAAGACCAGGAAAGACAGCAAAGCTGGACAGAGGTGGTGGCAGCCTGTAGCTTGTCAACATCAGATTCGAGCTCTGGAAGGACAGGGTGCAAAGTGCACAGGTTGGGGGCACGGTCTGATTTCCTCCTGGTTTTTCCTGGACGTGAGGGCACGGACAAACGGTTTAAGCTCCCCGGGCTGGTTCAGGGACGCGAGAACCCTACAAGCACGACTGCAGGGTTACTGTGAGGCTCACGGGAGCGCACGGCAGGACTAGTGCCCGTGCAGCGTAGGCACTCGGCAGTCAGCCCCCACCCCCGCCTTTGCCCTTCGTGCAGCCTCCATGCAGAGACATGCGAGGTGGAGACTGAGAAGTGGAGCGTGAGCGCAGGGTCGGGGGAGGGACAAGAGGTTAAAAAAGCCATGGCCCTGGGCAGTCCATACAAGGACAGTTTAGAATCCACCCTGAGCAGATCGCCTGAGCATCGAAACAGGAGCAAGTGTTGGCAGGATGCTTGGAAGGCAAGATCTTGGTCGAGAGTCTGAGGACATCCGGTAGGGATTCCCTTCATTCCATGAAAGCTGTCCTGGGCCAAAGAACCATTGTCCCCTGTCACGCCACACCTCCTGCTGCTGCAGCTCTCACCCCTGCACGCTCCGGCACAGCCGGGACAGCTGTTGCCTTCCGCTCTGTACCCTGAGAGCCCAGCACAGTGCTCGCCGCACTGCGGGACCTTGAGAGGTGTGCCATGTGGGAGAGGCGTGGAGGAGAGCAGCCCTCGAGCAGCCCTGGCCCGCACAGCTCCCTACAGTGACGGAGGTGGTCTGATCTGTGCTGTCCTAGCCGTATGCTAGCGTCGCAGGACTGCATTCCTAGCCGTCCGGGGAAACGGAGACCGCGCATGGGGCTGGCATCCACCACACTGGACAGCGCAGGCTCAGGTTTTCCTCTGGCCACTCTCCTGGGCTTCAGCTGGTCTCCCCCGCCTCCACCAGCCTCTCCCTCGTAGGCACAGGGGAAAGAGACGAAAGGCAGCTTCGGGGTCAGCAGGGTTTCGGTGCAGCCCAGAGGGAAGGGTTAGACAAACTGACTTAGCATAGTCCTCCGGTGAGCCTTGGGATTCTAGGACAAGGAACGACAACCCGAACACACAAAACAGAAGTGATTTAATTTGGTCACAGAATCTCGGGTCTGACGCTGAGTAAAAAGAACACTTAGGAAAGGAGAAGGGGCAGCAGCAGGGCTCCAGTCATTGCGTGGCCCCCCACCACCAGCGAGGTACAGAGTGATAGCCAACGGCTGAGCTCACTGGTAGTCCCCCGTGACCTCCGCTCTCCTGCTCTGGGGAGGGACCCCACTGGGGGCTGTTCAAGGGCAGCAGGCCATGCTCATTTGCAGGGTCACCACCCTGGCCTTGGGTCTGTGTCAGGGCAGGTGGCTGGCAGCGGCAGGTCCAGGTGGGGGTCCCAGAGAACTTGGGATTTCTCATCTCCTCCATCTGTGCAGAAGCGGAGGGAACAGCATGGGGATCCCATCTTGGGAAAGGGAGGCTGCCATATAGTCCCAGGAGTCTACGACGGGGGAGAGCTTGTGGTTCACTCAATCATCAAGAGCCTGGCTACCATCTCTGCTCTAACTACCCAAACTCAGGTGCACCCACTGCCTGCCCCGGCCAAGACCTCATCCCAGGGCCTGGCTGCTCGGATGCCCACTGGGGGCATCTAATGGCAAACAACAACTATTCTCTACAAGTACACACGCTTCAGCTTCCCAAGTGTGTTCACCTCTTATCTTGGAATGTCCCGTCTACCAAGGCTTGGTAACTACCAGGAGGCAGGTGAACCCCGCTAAGACTTCGCAGTGAAAGCCAGAGCCAGGACTGGAACTGAGAACCATACCGCCTCTTGCTGGAGGGCCCCTGGGCTTGCCCCCTGGAGAGCACCGTCAGGGTCTCCCATAATCCCTGTAATTCTGCAGCCCTCCCTTTTAACCACCGAGAGAACCTGATGCCACACACTGTCTTCGGCCCCTGGAGAGCCCTTGGAATTCTCCACCCGAAGGGAAAGATGCAGAGTGACCGACTTAACGGCAGGAGAGCCAAGCACACACTCACATCCGGAGGCATTTGTCCTTGCCACCACTTGCCACCCTCTGGCCATCTGGACTCCAGTCGACAGCATACACCTAACCCGAGGTGGGGGTTGGGGGAGGCAGGTCAGTGAGGAGGTGGGGGGCAGGAGGGCCAGGCTTCAAGCCCACCGCCCACCCCACCTCTGCTCACAAGGGTCCAGCCATACCTCATCTGCATGGCCTGGCAGGTCCGCAGCCAGCTTCTGCGCCTTCACATCCCACACCTTCAGCGTGCTGTCGCTGCTGCCGCTGACCAGGAGCCGGCTATCGGCTGACCACGCGATCTGGTACACAGCAGCCACATGGCCACGCAGGGAAGCCAGGTACCTGGGCCAGGAAAAGGTGATGATGGGCATTAGGTCTTCAAACATGTCTGAAGGGGGCCCCTACACCCACAGCAGTGGTTCTCAACCTTAGCTGCCCATGAGAATTACCGGGGAACGTCTACAAAACCTCACTGCCTAGCCCCTACCCCAGTGTGATCATTACCAAGGTCATAACGATTTTATAAAACTTTTCCAAACGAGCTGCTTCTAGGGTGCCTCTTGCCAGGCCTCTGTACCTGGACAACTTTGCATGACTTAGAATCCAACGGAGCCACCTGCTTAGCCCATCTGTCTGATAGCCCCCTAGCACAAGTTGCCTGCTGGCAGGTGGCATGGAGTAAGAGGGGGCCAGGCCCACCTGGAACTTTCAGAGCAGTACAGATCAGCTATGTCTATTTGGACAAGATTAGGCCTCTCTGGGACCCCGCTTCCTGTCTTGAAAAACAAGGGCTGCCAGGTGGCCCCAGCAAGGGTCTCCCTCATCCCTGTTCTCTTCTTGCCCATGCCTCTGTCTCTCCTGTGACCTCATTAACCTCAAGCCCACGGTGCCTCATTACACCAGTGCTTCTCAGACTTTAACGGGAGCGGAACCACCTGGCGACCTTATGCAAATGCAGATTCTGATTCACAAGGTCAGGGTGGGGCCCGAGGTTCTGCATTGCTATCGAGCTCCCAGATGCGGCTGCAACTAGGAGGGCCAGGAAATAATTACACCTCAATCCTACACTTCGGCCACATGCCTGGCCGTCTTAAGATCATTTCTCTCCTTTGACATGAAAGGAGCTAGCATTTCAGTGCCCATTTATTGCCAGTCCTAAATATACCATCTCATTTAACCCTGGTAACGAAACTGAGAGGTAGGGTCTGCATATTACAAAAGAGGAAACAAAGGCTCAGAAAGTCTAGATGCTTGCGAAGGCCACACAGCCAGGAAGTGGAAGAGCCAAGCTCCTTCCAGAGGACTAGGGCCCTTCCTCTCCATGCCCTCACTCACCTGCCCGTCCTGCCGTCCCACAGTTTGACGGACTTATCGAAGGAGGCACTGGCGACAATGCGGGAGTCAGGGGAGAAGAGCACCTGGTTGATGAGGGCCTGGTGTCCCGTCATCCGTGCAAGGGGCTTCTTGTCCTCTGCTGGGGACCACAGGAATAAGGTGAAGTCGTCTGAGCCAGACACCAGCCTCTCTGGGCCCTGGCCCTAGGAGAGGCAGAAAGCACACCGTATTGGACGTGGCCTCAGACAGGAGAGCCCGACCTTGGCAGCAAACACACCACTTGATTACCCCACACCAGCACAAAGGCCAGCGCTAGGAGAAATGAGGCCTGGCCAGCTACCAACTCACATGGGATCCCTGGCAAGTCACTGCCCCCAAAAGGAAGCTTTATGCACATGGAATGGTTTCAATCATTGTACACAATTACAAGAAAAAGCAAGGTGCAGAATAGTGTGTTAAAAAAGGGAAGGATTGGGGCGCCTGGATGGTTCAGTTGGATAAGTGTCCGACTCTTGATTTTGGCTCAGGTCATGATCTCAGGGTTGTAGAATCAAGCCCTGAGATGGGTCTGTGCTGGGCGTGGAGCCTGCTTAAGATTGTCTCTCTCCTCTGCAAACCACCCCCTTCCCTCTCTCTCTCAAAAGAAAAAAGGATTTTATATGTGGGTTTGTATGCATGTGTATGTATGAAGTCTCTGGAAGGAAACACAGGATACTAGTAGCACAGGATACTTCCAGAAGGAATGGAAGGGCAACAGAGAAAGGAGACTTTTTCACTACCTACTTTTTTGTGTTCTTTGATCCTTGGACCACATAAATGTGTTATTTTTTTTTTTTAAAGATTTATTCATTTATTTATGAGAGAGCATGAGGGGGGGGAAGGTCAGAGGGAGAAGCAGACTCCCCGCTGAGTAGGGAGCCCGATGAGGGACTCGATCCCGGGACTCCGGGATCATGACCTGAGCCGAAGGCAGTCGCTTAACCGACTGAGCCAGGTGCCCTTAAATGTGTTACTTTAAATAAAATTAAAAAGAGGGACACTTGAGGGGCGCCTGGGTGGCTCAGTCGTTAAGTGTCCGCCTTCAGCTCAGGTCATGATCCCAAGGTCCTGGGATCGAGCCCCACATCGGGCTCCCTGCTCGGCAGGAAGCCTGCTTCTCCCTCTCCCACTCCCCCTGCTTGTGTTCCCTCTCTTGCTGTGTCTCTCTCTGTCAAATAAATAAATAAAATCTTAAAAAAAAAAAAAAAAAAGAGGGACACTTGAGTGGCTGAGTTGGTTGAGTGTCCAACTCTCAGTTTCAGCTCAGGTCATGACCTTGGGGTTGTGAGATCAAGCCCCGTGTCAGGCTCCATGTTCAGCAAGGAGACTACTTGAGATTCTCTCTCTCCCTCTCCGCCCCTCCCCCTGCTCATGCTTGCACTGTCTCTCTCTCTCAAATAAATCTTAAAAAAAAAAAAAAGAGAAAGTGCAATAAATAGATAAGCAAATAAATGAAACAAAATGATTAAAATGATCCCTATGTGTTAAGATTTTAGGAGTGTAAACTAGGATTATCAAGAAGAACTTTCTGGAAAAGGAAAGGGGGGAGGGACCTGGGTATCTGCAGTGTTTCAGGGACCAGTGGGAGACGAGTACAGAGCTGGGCATGCTGGTGGCTGGCTCATACTCACCCGCACCAGGTTGTATCGCCTCAGAGCCCCGTCCTTCAGCTCCTGCACTGTGGCCAGGTACCGGAGGGAAGAGGAGGAGATGAGGTGGCCGATTAGAAAATCCCACGCCAACAGCAAACACCCCGGCCCAGGTCCGAATCTCGCACATTAAGCCAGAGAAGTGGCTCCTTCCCGCCCACTCACAGGACCCTTGGAGGTCTTGGGCGTTAACCGAGGCCTCGGCGGGCTCAAAGGCGCCTGTACGCAGGGTGTAGTCAGTGCTGAGTGCCATGGTATTCACCCAATGGCCGTGGCCTTGCAGAGTCCGGCACAGCACACCCTAGGGCAGAGGGAGTCAGGTCAGACACACTCCCGCCCCACTCTCCACCCTAGGGAACCGGTACCCCCAGGTTAGCCCCAGAAGACAGTGATGCGGGACTCAGAATCAGGACCCTCATTCATTGTGATCTTAATCGAATCACCCCTCTGGGCTCAAGTCTCTCCTCATGTCTGAGATGAGTGTACTGGGCTAGATCATGGTTTCTGAAAGCATGTTTCATGGGAAGGAAGTGAAGTATGTGGGAATACATGGGCTCCAGTCAAGTAACTCTGGGGTACAGCAGATTCCATAAAGCTAACAGGCTTCCTAGAGCAGGAACGTCTGGCCCATGCTAATGTACACTGGAACCTCCACTATCATGCAGCACCAACCACAGGACCCACCATTCCCGAAGTGCCTCCCCGACCTGGATCTCAGGACCCACCGGCCAACCTGCCTTCCAGCCCCAGCATCCCGTGGCCTGAGATTCCCCCAGGCTTGGGTTCTGGACCCTCCCGGCTCTTACATCATGAGCCCTCCAGACTTTGATGGTGCGGTCCTGGGAGGCAGAATAGAGAAGCCCGTCCCCTCCCCACCGGACACAGGTGACTGACTGCGTGTGCCCGGTGAGGATGCGCTCACAGCGGCCTGCAGTTGTATCCCAGACCCGCACGCTGCCATCCTTGGAGCTGCTGGCCACATAGCGGCACGCCGGGTTCCTGGAGAGGGGGAGATGTGACCTCACTTCCGACCTGGCAATGCCCACAGCACGTCCCCATGTTCAGCTCGAGGGCCAGGGACAATGATGTGAAGGCTTCCTGGCCCCAAGATCAAGCTGTATTGCAAGGCAGCTCTCAGGCCCCATGATGAGCAGCCCCCTCTCAAGCAGCAACCACACGCTTGGAAGACTTGCCCCACTGCCTGCCATACCATTCCCGTTGGTCAGGCTGGCCGTCTCGCCGCCTCAGCAGGGGAGAGGACAGTTTTGAGCCCCTAGCTCCTCATTCCCGCCCCAGCTCCGTCAGTATCACTTACGCATGGAGGGGCTCCCAGCTCAGGCCTGTGATCCACTTGCTGTGGCCAGCCAGGGCCCTGCCCACCTGCTTCCCTGTGCTTGGGTCCCACAGGAGAATCTGAAGGACAGAAGCTTACTCAATAACCCTCCCCGAACTGTCCCTGGGCCACCGCAGGTCACCGCCCACTGGCCCCAACCCATCCTTCCCTAAAGACCCCAGCACCTGATCTGACCCACCTCCTAGGAAGGGAGCCCAGAGTCCCTGCCTAGTTACCCTGACCACCACCTACCTGGCCATTCTTGCAGCCTGAGGCCAGCTTCTTGCCGTCTGGGGACCAGGATATGCTAAGCACCCAGTGTCTGTGTCCTAGGAAAGCAGGGGAGGGAGAAAGGAGGGAGCACATCTGTCTTTATTCTCAGTGCCTAGCAGTGCCTGGCACTTCTCAACTAGTCCCTGAATAAACGAGCAGTCGAACCAAAGGAGAGATGAGGCTTTCTAGGCAAAGGGAGACTCTACCCCAAGTGCTAAAGCCATGCATCCTGCTGCATAGATAATACTTCCACTTTCTAATAATTCCTTACACGATACATGGTATAAAGCATTTGCACACATCATCCCTTATAATTCTCATGATAGCTCTAAAGTATGGAGCAAGAACGATTCCCAATTTTTCAGATGTTAAAACTGAAGCTTGGGGAGCACGCCCTACATACACGAGATCACCCGGCCAGAAGCATCAGCACCAGCTGGGAGCTTGACATGCAAATTCTCAGGCCGCATCTCAGAACTAAGGAGACCAAAACTCTAGGGGTGGGGCCCAGCAATCTGTATGTTAACAAGCCTCCCAGGTGATTCTGATGCATGGTCAAGTGCTCAAGTTTGAGAACCACTGTGGTAGAGGCTGGATTTAAGTCAGGTTCTCCTTGCTACCAGCCATCAGCACAACCCACAACCCACACTGAACTCTCTGGTCCAGTTTGTATGTAGCCTGCTCAAAGGTGCGGTCTCAACCTAGAAACAGGCCGCTGCTAACTGGCCATGAAGGGGCTGAATCGGCTCTGGACCTCCTCAGGAACTAAAGGGCCTGAGTAAATGATTGGGCACCCGCCACTGGGTTAAGTCCCCCTACAGAGCTAAGGGCGTACTGACCCTGGCATGTGAAATGCGGTGTCTCGGTGCTGAGATCCCAGAAGCGCACAGTGGTGTCTCCGGAGCCACTGGCCAGGTACCTGGGGAAGAAGAGAGGCCACCTGACCTCTGCAGTGGGGCCAAGGGGTCGGGCCTACACCAGAACACTGCACATGTGCGTTTCTGCCGCCTGTTCAATTGTCTTCTGGGCATAGAATCTGGGGCTGGACTTTTCTCTCTCCTCTGAGAAGAAATGTAACACTGATCCCATCTGGGAGAAGACCCCAGGCGGCCATTTCTCTCCTCTTCCTTTTCTAAAAGGAACGGCCACAGCTATAACCAGGTTTGAGGCTGCTCATTATCCTCGTATGATTGCAAAAAGCAAAGAAACTCAGTTTCACAGATGATGAATTAAATCACAAAGTGACTTGTCCGGGTCACACAGCTAGGGAGCTCGCAGCTCAGCTCTCCTGAGATCAAGTCCAGGAAGGATTCTTCCAAGGTGGGTGTCCTTCAAGACCAAACCCCACCGGGGAAGTCCCTGACCTGCAATTTGTGCCCAGAGCTCAGGTCTATGATAGGCAGCCTGAGGTCCTATTGATTGTAACTTGGGGTACCCTCCCCACCCCAGCAAGAGGCTGCACTCCCACACTCCACTCCACGATTCTGCAGCTGTCCTTACTTTCCTGTGGGGCTGAAAGCCACAGAAATGACCGCCTCGCTGTGACCTTCCAAAGAGCTAGTGCAGCGGGTCACAGCACGGACCCTGAAGATGGCCTGTGGCTGGTAGATGATGTCAAGGACCTTCTCTGTCTCCACTGCCTGGGACTCCAGCGTCTTCCCCAGTGACGAGATGATCTCGGCATCGTGGACATAGAAAGCCAGTGGCAAAGGATCCTCCTGGAGGGCAATGGCAAAGAGCAACTCCTCCATCAAAGGACAGGCAGGAGACTCCCCACTGAGCTGTGGGCAGGTGAAGCTTTATTCCTTTCAGCCACTGTTTGGGATACCACCCACCATGCCCACTGAGCAAGGCCTTTTTTATCCTCAAAGAGTAACTGCAGGACACTTACATAGTACTTTAAAATCCTTTATCTGCATCTCACAACAACCCTGGGAGGGAGGCATCAATACTCCCACTTGACAGATGAGAAAACTGAGGCTCAGAGCAGCTACAAGTAATTAGCCCAATGTCTTATTGCTAATGACTAATTTAAGTGCTTCAGAAAGAAAATTAAAGTCCTGAATTAGTGTTCATATACAGAATTATGCAGTGTTTTCTAAACCATCACACCATGCCCTACAATGTATAAGCAGCATCCAAAACACTGGTTGAAAATGCAGACTCTGGGGGCACCTGGGTGGCTCAGTCAGTGAAGCATCTGCCTTCGGCTCAGGTCATGATCCCGGGGTCCTGGGATGGAGCCCCACCTCAGGCTCTCTGCTCAGCGGGGAGCCTGCCTCTCCCTCTGCCCCCCTCCCTGCTTGTGTGCTCTTTCTCTCAACTAAATATAAATAAAATCTAAAAGAAAAAGAAGAAAGAAAGGAAGGGGAAGGGGAAGGGGAAGGGGAAAGGAAAGGAAAGGAAAGGAAAGGAAAGGAAAGGAAAGGAAAGGAAAGGAAAGGAAAGGAAAAAGATGCAGACTCGGCTTCACTCCCAGAGTCTTGGTGTAGTAAATCTGGGTGGGGTCCAGGTACTGTGTTTTTAAGCCCCTAGCCCCACCAGAGGGCAGCATTTTGATAAACACTGGCTTAGAAGAGCAAGGGTTTTGAATCTGACATTCGAGTTCCAATTCCAAATCTACCACCTACTGCGTAGCACCGTACAAATCACTGAATGCCTCTGGGCCGCCCTGTAAGATGGGGATTATTAACGGGGAGCTGTGTCGAGGAATTTGACGATGCACCCAATGCGTTCAAAATGCGGTCTCTTTCCCCAGATGGACCCTGATGGCAAAGCGCTGTCACACTGATTAGAACTCCTGACTCTCCCCCGAAGTAGGTGGCCCTGCCACGGACGAGGCGCCAGGGTGGTTCACCCACTGTCGCTGAGCAGTGGGACCCCCGAACCCCAGACCCTGGGTCTCCCGATGCCCTGCGGGCCGGACCAGGGCAGGGCCGCCCGCCCGGGCCGCCGCTCACCTGGGCCAGCAGCGCGTTGCACACGAGCTGCAGCTTGTCCGGGGTGATGTCCACGGGCACGTCGAACGGGGAGCCCAGCAGCTGCCCGCCCTCATCCTGGAACTGCACCAGCAGCCGCTGCACGTCGCGCGCCGCCGCCTCATCCTGCGCCCACAAGCGCGTCGGGGGGTCAGCCACGCCGCCCGACCGGAAGGCCCCCACTGCCGCCTCCCTCTGGCCTCGGGGACCCCGGACCCGAGTGCCCCCGCCCGCACTCACGCACACCCACCGCCGCCGCCGCCGCCGCCGCCGCCATCCCGCGTCCACACGTGGAGGAGAAAGACTCTGGCGGGACGGAGCGCCGCCCCCGGGGTCGGGTGGCGCGGCAGGCCGCGACATCGCCCCCTGGTGTGGCGGAGGGGAAGTGTCACGCCGTGCGCGGCCCGGCGTGGCGGTGGGCGCATCTGGTACCTCCCTCCACAGCCTGCCCTTGGACAAGTGGCCGTCGCCCCATTCAGTCCCTCCCAGTGCAGTGCAGGATACGAACGGCCTTTTGTCTCTGTAGAACAGGGATTCTTGCCCCACTTCATAGATGGGGAAATCGAGGCTCTGAGCGGTTTATTGATTTTCCCCAAACTCAAGAGACAGGAAATGGTGGAAGACTGAATTGGCTTGGCAGCAGCAACCTTACAGGGGCGGCTTACAAAACCAGAGCCTGTTGGCTTGAAGGCGGAAATTATTATTTTTTAAAATGGATCAAATCAATTCATAATTCTTGAGTGCAAAAGCAAAAAGTGTCTACAGTTTTCAACACTGTAAAGCAATAGCAACTATGATGGGAATGATAGCAACGTCTTAGGCGTTGTTCCAAGTGCTTTACCCATGTAACTCATTTAATCCTCACAAAAACCCTTCTGGCCCCACATTACAGATAAGGAGCTGAGGCAGAGACCAGCTAACATGGGGGCTCTTACCAGAAACCTGGGATCTTCCTTGGATCTCTGCCCACAGCCCAGGGGTCTCAAGCTCTGTCAATCTGGCCTCCTTAACCTGTCCCGAATCTGTCTCCCCATCTCCTTTCTCACACTCTGGCCTGAGTCACCGTGATTACATACAACAGCCTCTTCACTCGCCTCCCTGTTTCCACTCTTGCATCTTCCTGAGCATCCTCCACACTGCAACCAGGGTGATGTTTTCAAACCAAAGATCTGGTCTGTCACTGTCCACCCTAAAACCCTACAGGGGCTCCCATTATAAGCAGGACAAAGGTCAAACTCCTTATGATGCTCCACTCAGCCTTACTTACCTGTCCAGCCACTCCTCTCTCTTTAAGATCGAATTCTTCTGGCTTTTTCTTAGTTCTTCCAAGGCATGACTCTTCTTGCATCAGTGCCTTTGTACTTGCAGATTTCTCTGTCTGGAACTCTTATGGATTGAATTGTATCCCCCCCTCCCCAAATTCGTGAATTGAAGCCCTAACCCCCAGGGTCGCTGTATTTGGAGATAGAGCCTATATGGGAGTAATAAAGACTAAGTGAGGTCATAAGAGTGGAGCCCTAGTCCGATAGGATTGGTGTCCCTATAAGAGATATCTCTTATATCTCTCCCGCTCTGTTTCTTTCCCCCTCTCTCTCTGCCCCACGCCTCCTCCTCACACAGAAAAGAGGCTATGTGAAGACAGTGAAAATGTGGCCATCTACAAGCCAGGAAGAGAAGCCTCACCAGAAACCAATGTTGATGGCACCTTGATCTTAAACTTCTAGACTCCAGAACTGTGAACAAATATGCTTATTTTTCAAAAATTTCACTTATTCCAGCCATTCTGCCTGTGGTGTTTTCTTATAGCAGCCCAAGCAGACGAAGACAGGAACAATTCCTCATTCTTCAGGTCTTGCCTGAAATATGCATGCATCCATTCAGCAAATGTCTCTGCCAGACATTGTTCTAGGAACTCTACATGTATTAACTCATGTAATCATTTACTCAGGAAACCTTCTCGGAAACAATGCTATGTTTCCCCATTATATGTTTTTTCAAAATATCCTGGTGTTCTTTGTATTTAGAAATCACAGATCCATGGAATGATTTCATCCATTCATCCAATGAATATTGTTGAGCCCTTGTGTAAACACTTTGATAGCTGCTTGAAATATGTAAGTGAACAAAATAGACACAAATTCTTGTCCTTACAAGTGGTCTTGGCTTCCACTGTCATTCACACTTCCTGGTACATAGTAGATGCTTAAGAATTGGTTGGGGTGTGAATTACTGAATCGGGATTTTTTTTTTTTTGTATTGTTTTGTTTTCTAAGATTTTATTTATTTATTTGACACAGAGAGAAAGAGAGAGAGAGCACACAAGCAGGGGGAGTGGCAGGCAGAGGGAGAGGGAGAAGCAGGCTCCCCGCTGAGCAGGGAACCCGAAGTGGGGCTTGATCCCAGGACCCCAGGATCATGACCCAAGCCAAAGGCAGATGCTTAACCAACTGAGCCACCCGGGTGCCCCTGAATCGGGATTTGAATCTAAGATCCCTTGGACCTAAAGCCAGAAAACTTGAGTTTTCTGCCAGTGGCAGGATCCTTTATCACATGACTTCGTTGCTACAGAGAGCTTGCCCTGTAAAGGGGCTCAGGGTTTAGGACACCACGATGGCAGGGAATCCCTCCCTACATTCATTCATGTATTTATTCAGCCAATAAACATGCATCAGACAAATATGCATCAGGGCTGAGCCTTGGGTCCAGAGGCATAGTAGAACTTGTCCAAGTCATGGCTGTGTCCAAGGTTACAGAGCGAGGAGCAGAATCCAGTGTGGGTGACCCACCTATGCTTTTTCTTCAGTGCACTTCTCTGCCCTGGTCAGGTAGGTTTGAGGATATATGTGGGGAGGGGCCAAAATGGCAGTAAGTGAAGCAAAGCATGAGCATGGAGACACTATTCATTCCTCCATTCATTCATTGAGGAGACCCGCATTGGGCACTGACTCTGCCAGGCTCTGTGCCAGGCTGAGGGGTTGGGGGGGTGACAGCCAAACTGCATGAGATGCTGTCCTTTGTTCTTGCCCCCTGGGAGGGAGCTCATGACCCAGGTTTGGAGACACTGGAAGGCGAAAGAGTTCTGAGTCCATGTAGGAATAGACTCAAATTTGTCTCAGGAGCCCTCAGTCAGATGGGGAGAAACAAGTCCTGCCCCAGGGGAGGCCTGCTCTGGTGGTGAAAACAGTTTTTGTCCCAGGAAGACCCCCTTCTGAGACTCAGCTTGCCAGGAGAGTTCCCAGGTGGATTGGGGGTGGGGGTACAGTCCTTGGGCTCAGGGAATTCCTAGACTGACCCAGCTCTCGTCCAAGGAGAAGACTGTAGTCTAGTGGGGGATATGCAGAGCCCATCGTCTGGGAGCTCCCAGTCTGATGGGAGAGGTAGACTGAATGCATCCACTCCATACAGATGGTGGATGCAGGAGAAGGCGTGCACACTGAAACAAAGCACCCACTTGCACTTAACCAAGTTTGCAAGCCCCTCTGTCTTTCTGGAAAAGGAAGGACCTTTTCAGCAATGAGTGCCGGAGGGGTAGGGGACTTGTGGGCAAGTGGAAGAGGGGAAGGAACTCTCTTCCCCCCTTCCATCCCTCCTCCCTCCAGAAGTGCATTTCTGGAAGTCTCCAGTTGGTCCTGGACCTGGGCAGCTGCTCTAAGTCTGCCAGCCCCTCAGCTGTCACTCTGCTCCCAAAATAGCAGCGGCTGGGGGGAGGGAGAGGAGGTTGTTTATCTGGGGTGGACGGGGACAAGGGGCATTATAACTGTGCCTAGGGAGGGGGTCTCCCTCCTTTCTGGATCTTTCTCTCACTCTTTGTGGTATGAGTGCCTGAGTCCAGGACAGCCCCTGAACAGGACACTAGGGCAGAGGTTAGTCAGCGCTCCCACGTGGTAATGACTGTCCAGCCCGGGGAGGGGAGGGCCCTGAGTATCAATGACAGACTCCAGGGGCACCTGCCCCTGTGGCCAAATATGGTCTGGAGCCCCTGGCAGGGATGATAAAGCCTCTTGGGTGGGGGAGGGGACAGACTAAGGCTTGGTGTCCGGGGGTTCACGAGGGAGCTCAGTGGAGCAGCATCACAGGACAACAGACCAGGAGCACTGTCCTCTAAGCAAGTGAGCCCCCCTAGGGGGTGCCCCAGACTGGGGAGGGAGAAGGGGGACCGAGAAGAACTTGTAAGGCTTGCAGTGAGAATTCGGGCCTTTGGCGCGGTGGTTTCATCTGTCCTGCTGGGAGGGACGGAGAGGGAGGCACAGGGACCCTGAGACTCCTTCAACCATGCTAATCTCCAAGCAAATGTATCAAGTCCTCCTGGGGGGGATGGATTCAGGGGTGATGGGGGTAGGTCCTTTCCAGGCAGAACCCTCGCCTTCCATCCTGGTCAGAGGAGACCCTGGAGCTCCAGACCTCAGGCCAGGAAGTCCAGCCCCGGGTCTGGAGTAAGGGGCCGGCCAGACGGAGCTGCTCCTGTCCTGACAGATGGCGGAGGCCGAAGCGGTGCAGCTGAAGGAGGAAGGGAACCGGCATTTCCAGCTCCAGGACTACAAGGCTGCAACGAAGAGCTATAGCCAGGCCCTGAAGCTGACCAAGGATAAGGCGCTGCTGGCCACACTCTATCGGAACCGGGCAGCCTGTGGCCTAAAAACGGTCTGGAGCGGGCAGGGCGGGAGGCTGAGGGCCAGGGCTGGGAGGCAGGGGTGTGGAGGCAGCCCCCCAGCCTGATGGGCATTGTCCATTGTTCCAGCCCTCTCTCCCGGACCCCTCAGGTTGGAGGAGGGCACCTCCTACTGCTTTCCTGGACCCACTGCCTGACCCACTCCTCCCAGAGACAGAAATTCCTCCAGCTGGGAGTCAGCCTAATGGGCACTGGCATCACGCCAGGGGTTTTTAAATGTTATTTCGAGGCATCTTACTAACAGCCCAGTTAGCTACTGTTTGGTGCCCATATCGCAGATGACAAACTCAGGGCTCAGAGGGCTCCATAACCTGCCAAGATCTCCCAGGTAATTAGCAGCAGAGCCCAGATTCAGACCCAAGATTGCCTAATGCCAGAGCTCATCCACTCCTCCATGCCCAGCGAGCGAGGGGCCCACCCTTGGGCCCCCGACAGCCAGCAACTCCCCAGCAAACCCTCTCTGGCTGCCTCCGTGTTGGACCCACTTTAACCCCGGCTCCTTCTTCTTCCCCCTTTCTCAGGAAAGCTACGTTCAGGCGGCTTCAGACGCCTCAAGAGGTGAGCGCCCCTCCCCCAACCTCCGCCCCTCACCCCCCAGCATCCCTGTTTTGTCTAAG